TGTTCATTTGTATGAGCCTCAATACTTAACGTGTCTTGAACATTGTGCACGTGAGAATCTCACCGATTGATTTATCACCGAGCTTCATGTTTCCTTGGTTAATCTAATAAACATTGGATAGAGAATTGGATAGAAAATTTAAATGGGGTAATTTATTTATTTAAATAATTTTAAATTTTTTGAGATGAAATATCTTGTTTGGATAAAGAATTTATAAAGAATTTGAAATTCAAGTATTTGTGAAATTTCTTGAAATAGTAGAATTTCAAATTCTAAAAAAAAAATAAGAATTTAAAATTTTTTATATTTTTTTTCTTATTTCACTTATATATTTTTATTTTATCTCTTATCTCTTTATGTTTTTAATTATTGAATATTCAAAAATATTTTTAAAATTATTAAATATTATCTAATATTAATTTTAAAATTATTAAATATTTAAAAATTAGTTAATATTTATTTTTATAAAATATAATTTAAAAATTTCAACTTATAAATATATTTTTAAAATTAATTTTATCAAGGTGGAATCAAATTATCATATCAAACCCAACAATTTAAAATTTGATAAATTTGAATTGACTTATCCAAACAAAATATTTTAAGAAAGATAGAAATTGAAATCAAAGTAATTCAAATACCAAGAATTTAAAATTCTTTGAATTTGTAGAATCCCTCATCCAAGCACACCATTAAATCTTGGGACCAGATATCTCACTCTTTGAGGTGCCTCCAACGTAGCGAGGAGATTAGTCACTGATATCGGCGGTGGATACTCCAGGGACGAACCAAAAAACAATAATTAAGATATAGGAGAAAGATAAAAGATATATAAGTGAGATAAGAAAGAAAAAATATGAATAATTTCAAAATTTTACTTTTTTGAGATAAATTAAAATTCTACTATTTTAAGGAATTTTAATAATGCTTGAATTTCAAATTATTTATAGATTCTTCATTCAAACAAAACGTTTCATCTCAAAATATTTAAAAATTTTCAAAAAAATAAATTATTTCATTTAAATTTTATGTCCAAACACATTCTTAATGTGTTTGCAATTATAGTTAAGTATCAAATTAAGGTTTGAACAAAAGCTTGTCTCTTCTGTTCTAATCATTACTCAAACCATGGTTTGGAGATTTCAACTCAAATCCAAAACCTAAGAATGTTTGCTTTTACTCAACACTTCCACCAAATCCATAGGTCTATGATCATTAGCATTTAACTGAATATACATGTATTCAAACACATCATTGTTTTGAATAAAAAATGCGTCGTGTTAAAAGTCAATCTCCCTTGAAGCTAGGATTGACATTTGATAATTATTAAATATATATATATAATTGTTATTTAATTTAATTAATTATTAATATATATTATATTTCTAAATCTTATTTTTCACAAAAATACTTAGTCAAAAGTTAATTTCATTTTATAATTTAATTGTTTAAATATTAGGTATTTTAAATATTTTTCTTTGTTGAGATATAACAAAGAGAAAATAATATAGAAATTACATGTCTCAAAGGGAACCATCACTCCAAGTCACAAAAAAGACTTACTCTAATTTAGGAAAATTCGCTCAAAGCGACCAACTAGGGATGTAAGTGGGTACGGATAACACGCAAATCCAAACTGACCCAAACCAACCCAATGAGTTCGGATCGAATTTTTTCAATGTTTGGATCAGATCCAACCCAACTCAATCAAAACTCGATACTGTACGGGTCGGATAACAAATTTTATTGGGTCAAATAACAGGTTTTGTATTTTCAACCCATTATTGACCCGACCCAACCTGATCATATATTATTATTATTATTATTATTATTATTATAATGTTTGAATGATTATTTATTGAGGATAATACTCACTGTCACTCTTACTTAATAATAAGTTTTGCATTTTAGATTGATAGCATTATAACAATATAGTATATTTTATTTTATATTAATTAATGTTGAGTTGATAATAATGTAACAAATTAATAAATTTATTTTAGAATTTAATTTGCATCATTGTTTTCTTTATAGGTTGATAACATAGAATTTGCAACAATGTATCAAATGATTACATCTATTTTAAAATATTTAAATTTTTACAAAAAAATAAGTAAATAAAATTATTCTGACCGGATAAACCCAACTCAACCCGTTTGTGATTGGGTTGGGTTGGATTGAGTTTTAAAAAAATTTTGCACAAATTCAACCTAACCCAACCCATTAAATTTTGATCGAGTTGGGTAATAGGTTTATCTAAACCCTAAACCCAACCCGCTTACACCCCTACGACCAACAGTGAACCAAGTTAGAGAACAACCCTAGAAGAATGTACCATCTCACTTAAAGCGAGTTACTTGAACATGAGAAAAATTCGTTCAAAACTACCACAAGAGTACTCTAATTGAGTGAAGTCAAAAAGTATCCCTCGAAGTATACCCTTGCTCAAAGTGAGCTATTTAGACGTTTTGAGCGAACAAAATTTGCTCAGAGCTACCATAAGACTGCTTTTAGTGAGTAAAGTCAAAAGACACCCTAAAACCACGCACATGCTCACTGAGAGTGTGCTACATGAGCGCTCTGATCGAGCATATCAAACCTAAAAGTTCATCGGAATTGTTATAAAGATAGGGAGGTCTCTGTATTGCATTCCTATCATTCAAAAGGTCTCTCTTTTATTGTGTATTGCATTAACATCATTCCTATCATAATTCTTCTTAGCATAATTCTACAAGTATTAGAGAGAGTTCTTGTGAAATACTCTTGTAATCACAAATTGTTCAAAGGTCTCTATTTTATTGTGTAGTCCTTAATTATAAGTAACTAAGTCTCTATTGTTAGAGATTGAGGTAGCTATTTAAACTACATAATTTTCTCTATATTTTTCCTTTTAATAAAATATTTATTTAGTTAATTATTTTATTATTGTACTTATTACTTGTTGTGGTCAAATGCGTATCAACATTTAAGGTGTCTTATAAATAAAACACACTATCAGAATATAGTTAAAGTTTATTCATCTTTACAAAACTATTTTGTAAAATAAGAATTGTTCATTTGTAAAATGACACATAATATAATAACGATCAGGTAGTAAATGACTTAATGTATTTAACAACACCTAATAATCACTTACATAAATTGATGCCATATTAGAAATAGGCTTGTAAGGTTAAAATTGTTCTCTTGTTACATGCATTATTATAACCTTATCATTGACCCGTATTTAGGATCTTCAAATTTCCAACACACTAATCGTTGTTGTATGTAACTTGATGAGATCAATAGGATTAGTAACAGCAAACAGTACAGCTGACTTTCTCCACATCCCATGATGGGAAAAGAATCGTGTACTAAGCTACAGCTTGCACAATCTTGTCACATTTTTGTATTATTATTATTACAATAGCGGAGCATTAGTATACTCCTGGAGACTTCTTTCTCGCTGGGCATTGAGACTTATACAGTACTATAAAATTTCTCTAACAAGTATATGTGCATGAGTTACATCTCCATGAAGTGACTCTCCAACAGCCACAGGGACAAAGACGTTCAACCGTTGAGATCTCATAAAGGAATGAGTCAGACACCAAAATTTTAATCGTGGACATGCGCAACGATCAGCCACAAAATTTACACTTCCTTTTAAACGGCATTATTACACAATAAACGATTTAGCGTTAGTCTTTTTCTGCAAAACCAACACCCTGGTTTTTGTTATTTCAACTTTTGTTAGTGATCCTAAATGGATACACATAAAAACATGCACAAGGTAAAGTAGCTAAAGTCCACCAAGTCAAAAGTAAACAGCAATTGATAGGCATGTAAATAGCATCTTGGAGGAGGACCCCGGATTAGAACCCCCAATATTCCTGCCAAACCCCGCAAACACTCTTTAGTCTTTATTTTGTACTTAAATACTGTTCCTCATCAATGAAAAGACGAGCCACAGGAATGGTGTAGTGTGCTATTTAAATTTGATGTCAAACCCACCTTTATCAGTAAAATTTTAATCATGGACTCACTAAGAGAGGCTCTGGGGTTGTATCATGAAAATCAATCTTTTATGTTTGTTCATATTTTTTCTCAATTACTGTGGCAAGTGGCAACCACTACACTTTAAAACTCATTTTCACATGATACAGAAAAAAGAAGAAAAAAAAAAACTCTGATTTTCTTCGCATTAAAAAAAATGCTAGTGCCCAGGTGATTATTCTGACAAGCTTTCACCTTCATTCAATCATCATAAATATTCTCGAAAAAACAATTAAAAAATCTTGAATAAAAAAATCAACTTCCTGCACAAGGAGAAAACATCGATCATTATTAATAAGAATATTAATAATAAACATGTACATTGGAAATTATTAATAAGCATGGCTTTATATGAATTAACACTGATCTACATGCCTATTAAATTATTAGTAAGCATGTAATTGGTGTTAATCCATATAAAAATTAAGTAGAATTAAATCAATTAATAACCACTATGCAGTACCTGAAGACTGTGAAGGACTATTGATGATAAAAATGGGCTGAGACGCTGGAAGGTTTAGTGTTTGTTAGTTGGGTATCAAACTATGCACATTACTGAAGCTGGTGTGTGAGTAGCTACCAAGATGATGATGATGATGATGTACTGTACTGATCATGTGTTAGGCAAAGCATGACTGTAGCCAAAAACTACAGATTATAAACTGACAAGGATAAAGTAAAGGTAAAATTAGACAAAGAAGCAGGTCAAAAGCAGAACAAAGAAAAGCATGAAAGAGAAGAGAAAAAAAACCAACCTTTTTCGGTATGTGGGAAATGGGTTGTCCCTATCTCCCTCCATGAATGAGTTTTCTTCAAAGTTATTCCAGCTTGGTAATGGGGGACCAATTGCTGAACAGTAATAGATGCGTGTAAGATTTCTAATTCAGGGGAAAAGAATAATTGTATTGACAATAAGAAAAGAACAAAAGGACTTCAAAGCAGAAAAGATTGAGATATAGACTTTTCAGACTATTCTGTGAACATATTCTGTTGATATTGACTTCCCAATTCATGAAATCATTTTGTATATCTAGTAAAGCATGATCCACCTAATGCCCAACATCATTTTAGTATATTCTTTTAGACTCTATGTTTTGATTGCACTAGCAGGATCCACTCTATTATGTACAACTCCATGTAAATCATTTACAGCTTCAAAATCTAGTACTTTTGGATTTTGGTCTATCCAAGAAGAAAATAAGAAAATAGTTAGGGCCCTCTTTGGGGCAATGGGGCATGGTCAGGTTTGCTTAGAGCCCTGCACGTGTTTTTTAGTTTTTTCTTTTTGTATGAGCTTAAAAAGAAAAGAAAACAAATCACTCAGGAGCCTAAGTTCCACTGTCTCACAAGCATGATTGTGGTAGTGCATGAGGAATAAATAGTGTACCTGAATGCAGATGGACACGTCTCATATCCAACCTTCCTTTAGAAAAAGCTTAGTTCAGTGTATCCACCGGAATATGGCAGAAGTTCCTCCACCTCAATTCTGGAACGAGAACAACTCATAGTTTTCTTCAATCTGCCATGAGCTGACTCAACCTCAGCCCAAAATATGCCATAAACAGGTCTGTGGTCTGAAAACTTTGATTCGCCGCGGACATATGATAACTGATGCAGACCTTCTCCAAACCACAAAATACGGTCACACCTATAAATGATGTTAACAAAAGTACATCATTATTCATAAACTATAAATCATACGTTAGGCTTCATTTTAGATCATCTAATATTTTGCCTTCATATCATTTAAATCTTACCATGCAGGAGTTCTCCTTTTCTCTTTGGGGTGCATGTCGTCCCCAGCATATCTATCTGAATTAGTTGAATATTTGTATGTTGGAGGAAAATATATCTTCCCTTCATTCCATCCTACAAACACACGGCCTCTTTTTTGTTCTATTCTCAACTGCCACCAATGTCAATAATTGAGACTCATTATGCATGTTGTACACTAATATTAATAATACACTTAGGTTAAGAAATGAACATGAAGTTATTTAAGAGGTTGAACTGACGTACTTGATCATTCTCTAGCAATGCTCTCCAGTTTTGCATCTCAACAAGTGCCTTAGCAGAACGGTAGGAGAGGGCAATCCGGTAATTCAAATCTCCAAGCCATATAATTCGACTACATTAATGAATTCAAAATGAGGAAATGCATAAGTTTAGTTAAATGGAAAGAAAAAACAATCATAATGCATTTAACTTAGGACACTACACTAGGAGATGTGATATATTAGCAAAGGGGTCTTAAATTGGTGACATTTTTTAAAATAATAATTTTTAGATGATGCGAGGAGATCCTTACTCATGCTCGAGGATTGTCTGTGGAGACTTCTCATTGTCCACACCAGGAACACGAGGAAACCTCGTTTTCTTAAGAATCTCCATCACATCAGAATTTCTTCTTATTTCATCACCCTCTTTCTGTCCTGAGGTTAGATGGCTACAGATAAAGCAAAAGCTTGTTTCATGCACAGACATACTAATTGAGATGGATCCCTGCAAATAAAAGCCAAAATAACTCTTCTATTTAAACCAACTTCAAGTAACCATCATGTTTGCCATGACATAATCAAAGGAAGAACAAAAATTGGGAATATAGCTAACTTAAAATTCACCTTATTTCCGAGATAGCCCATCAATCCTCTGCCAACACAAGACACTTTCATATTTTGAACATGATCTTTCAGTTCACTTCTCACCCATATGGTTAGATATATTCCCACCATTTGCTTACTAGCAACAAGGCAGTACCTTGAGTGTCCTGGCATGGCATATCCATCTTCATTTAAAGCAAGTCCACCTCCACCATAAGACATTGGTGAAAATAAGACTGTGCTTGGTGAATCTCCAAGGCCATTATCATCAACAGACGAACCCCATCTTGAGTAGTCACTTGGTCTTGAGTAGTCACTTGGTCTTGAGAAGTCACTTGCCCTGGAATAGTCACTAGGTCTATAACCCCATCTGAAACTGGGATCAAAGTCACTTGGCCTGTGACCAAAAATCACTCTATCACAGACACTGTATCTTCGATCTAGCTGCGGCTGTACAACTGAAGGATCATTGTCCATTCCCCAACCACTAGAAGTTGTCTGGAATGATCGCCTATGGAAGAAAGATGAGTTCTTCTGCCTAGTAGATCCCTCAAAATCTGCATTCAGCTCTACCACTGGCTGAGGAATGGGAGATGGTGTATAACATCCACTACTTCCACTGGTGCCAGGAAGATTGTTTAAAGTCTTTCTGATGAGAGCCAACCATTTTTTGGCAGGGCCATTGTCTTCTGCCCCTAAGATATTACCAGCATTCAAGGGAACTATCTCTTGAAATCTGAAAGAGACAAGTAGAAATATGTCATTGGTAACAGTTAATGCTACTTTTGATTGAAGAAAATGTTGACAAGTACCGATTCCTACCCAAGAACATAAATATCAGCTGGTGGCGAAGAATGAAGCCAGTCATCTAAATTCAAATTACTTGGTGGGGATCTTCCGGCTACATTCCATGTAGCTACAAAAATGCTGCTTACAGAGAAAAGAAAGACACTAATGAAAAATTGAACAAGGCCTTTTTTTTCCATGAAAAGGTAAAATCAGAGAACCAACACACCTATGATTCTGCACATCTATAATTCGAGGATGGTCAAGATTCATTCGTGCTCGCCTGACCTGATCTGTGCTCCTGCTAAACTTCTCTGTTCATTTTTTGTGTACAACAGTCAGCATTTGTATGTAACATCAAGAGTTTTAAATGAGCATGGTTCAAGAATGGAACGGGGGTACTTCTATACCTGTTTTACTCTTCTTTATTGTGCATGGCTCTCTCTCAGAGAAGCTATTCCTACTTCTGTATTCCACGTCACCTCCTGAAGAAGGAAGTCAGAGTTGATGCATCAAATTTACAAAAAGAGAGTATAGTAACTGACTTTATATCAGGAACAAAAAAATAATACAAACAGAATTGAATTTGATGGACATATATTTCAAAGTTTAAAGTATGTTGCTTGCACTTTGTTTGGATGGCAAGAAATTGTAACAAGAAACAGAATCGGTGAGAACATAAAAATTCGGATAAAGTCAATCTATGCTTCAGGGAAAGCTAATTGAGTGTTTGGCATAGCTTAATCTTTTGCATTAGACAACAACAAAATCAGACAGAACATAAAGATTGATCCTAGGCTTCAATTTTCGGTTTTTCTCGGTACACAACTAGAACCTGAGAAATTGTTCAAGGACTCAAACTAGACAGTGCTATCATCACAATCTCTCGTTATTTAATTCTAGGGCTGTTGCTCCCGTAGAAACTGATCACTAGTAGAGAGTGAATTTTGGAGAAAACCAAGATACCAACCTCCATAAGCAACATCTGCTTGAGAATCCTCAGTCTTGCTTTTGATATTAAAGAACTTTCTGACCATTTTCTTTGACCATGAGAGCTTCATCAGGCAACAGATAGACAAAACAATCAACAACTTGCAATATGCAAACACCAACACACTCAAAATGTTGAATTTCATTCCCCTGGGGAAAAAAGCATAAGGAAAAAATCCAAAACAAAAATAGAATTCATCTTTATGTTCGAGGAGATTGGCAAAACCTTGCTTTTCTTGAAATTCTCATCTCTCATTTTTGCACACTTTCACTTCACAGAGTTCCTCAAGCTCTCTGATATTTCTGTGTCTTAGAAGTATGCCTATATATCCAAAACTTATTAGAACTAAAAGAGCAAAATATTATTGCTTTGGAGGCTCCTTCTCGAACCTCTACAGTCTACACTCTAGCTATCTTCAGATCTCAGAAACAAGACCAGGCTCATTTGTTGTCCTGGTTCTCAATTCCAGAGAAAAGAGCTAAATTACTCAACAAATGAGAGAGCAAAATGGCTTATGTATTTTCATAGTTTTCCTCTTCTGAGAACATGGAAGCAAAGTCCCATAAATATGAAAGAAAGCGCCACCAACTCAAGAGAGAGACAACACTTTAATGCGTGGAAGTGAGAAGAGATTCTGAAGTAGTAGAACAAGACAATGCAGCAAGCACAGAGATAGAGAGAGAAAGGGAGAGGCTCCTCGTTCTCTGCAACCGCAGGAAACAAAACAAAGTATCGAATTTGAACAGAATAAAGTGCAGTAAAAAAGAGCATAGAAGAGCTTTTTAGTATTAAATAACATTTTTTAGTGACAACCTTAGCTCAAGACAAGGGGGGCAACGGGCAGGTAGTTTTTTGCTTTAAGGCTTCTGCATAAAACGACCCGGTCAGCTCACCAAAGCTGCCCTTAGTCAACAAAGTGAAGAGGGGATGTGTACTGTTATGTGAGATCTACCTCTGTTCAGTATTCTCCTATTCCTATACCTGTCTTCTTCTCTTCCAGTTATTTGGTCTTCCAATTAAAGCAAAAGCAGTTAAAGAAGGAGAAAAAAAGATAAAGGCCTTGTTATATAGTATACTATGTTATTTGTATTGTATTTTTCTTATTCAATTATTGGACGAAGAATGTTTGGAAGAGAAGTAATAGTAAACTGGACGTTTAATGTCATGGCTTAGAAGTTATAATTTATAACCCCTTTAATAATGAAGACAAGTGTCTCATTTTTGGGCACGGGAATGAATCCATTAATAAAATTTATTTTTGTCTTTCTTAGATTTGCCATCTTATGAGTAGATATTTTATATGGAGAAATGTGACGTTTGATTCCATAGGTGAGGTGCCACTCAGCAGTCAGCATAGAGCGTGTTGCCAAGCAACTTTGAGGCCCTTTTGGCTCTGACCCTAGTCTTGGAATGTCTTTGGAAACAATGGCAACTTACCCAATTTTGTGGTGGTTGGGGCTTCCTTTCCCCTTTCCTCTCGCGGGTGTTCACTGCTTTTAACCCTTAGAGGCTATCACCAACTTGTGGTTTGGTGTGGCTAAATGCTATGATTTAGACTTTGGAGTATAAATTTCATGCATTAGGAGTTTCCATCATTTGGGGCTGAACTTCATTTTTTTTTCCACTTTGAGTCATACGCTTCCTTTGAATTCCTAAGACCTTCAATAAACAATGCCTCTCTATGAAAACTATACCAATTTCCAATACAGAATGACCTTTCGGCTTTGGCTCCAAGTTTGAAATCTTTCTTTGACCCATGCCGTTTTTCCTTACATTCTTGAATCTCCTCATACATATATAATTATCATAGTTCAGAAATTTTATTTTGAGATCAAGTCTAACAGATTTAAAATTGACTATTTTTTTTTATATGCTATAAAGTCATGTATATAAAACTATATTAGGGTTACAGAAAATTTCATATATCTATCTTGAATAAGCTCTTCAAAAGTTGAGGCCATACTGCCATAGCCCCACTGGCCACTAACCCTTTTCCCTCTTTCACTAATTATTGGGTCTCAAGTAGTCCATTAGTCAAACTATTGTTGATATGAAATAGAAAATGTTTTAAGTTGACGGTGCAATATTGCAATTGGAAGCGTGTTATTATTATTATCAACGAAAAAACTGCGTTTCATTACAAAAGTCTACCTTCCAAAATAAAAGATGAAATTCTTTTAAATTAAGCATACTTGAGAAATGCAAACAATGCATCTTTAATTTAATGTATATAGTAATATAAATTCATTAAAATTTAAAGATATATATACCTTAAGTATTATTTTTTTTTTACTTTTCAGATAAATTAACGTTAAATAATTTTTTCACAAAAATAATAACAACCTCAACTCCATTGACCATTGTCTGTTTGTGTTGATTGTCATAACTAGTTAACTACCAAGCAGGTCCAATCCAAACCAAAGTGGTGGAACTTCTCTGACATGGAAAAAAAGGCCAAAATAAAATCAATTGCTGCAGTGCAGCCTGCGAAAACAAGACACAGTAGAGTCAAAGGTTTAACAAGACTCTCCACCACTGAGTTTGAATTTCTTAATTTCAGAATTTTGGCAAGAACAGTGATAATATGGTGGGAACAAACCAAACAAAAAGAGTCTAATCAAATCCTGGGGAAATAATTATAAAGAATGCGAAAGATACACACAAGCTATATGGTCCTAGCAAGCAGAAGAATTAAGGCAACTGGAGGAAGGCCATTTGTTATTCTCTGCCTTCTGAATTTCTCAAAGACATTAATAATGAGTAGACTTCCATAGTTATCAAATCAAGGTTATCCAATCAGAAAAGCATAATCTTATTTTATTAAAAGGACAAAAGTATAGTATGCATCAATAAAACTATACTCCCTCCGATTTTTTTTTTTTTTTTACGTTTAAGATTTATATAAAAAATTAAGAAAATAATTGATATATTTTAATTTTTCAAAATATTTATTACTTATTTTTCCGTTATATTTTTTAGGTGATTATTGAATAAATAGGTATATTAAAAATAAATAAACACATTATTCACTAAACATGTATTAATTATCAAAGATAAAAATGAAAAAAAAAATTAATAAATTATTAGTTTCAGAAAAATAATAATAAAAAAGAAAAAATATAATATTAAAACGACTATGAATAAAAGGGAGTATTTTTATTCATTAACAAACTATTTTTAAATTTTTTTAGCAAATTTAAGTTATAATTTGTCATTATCACTATAAAATATGCATAAGTTTTTTATTATTATTATGTAGAGCCAAAAATTCAAGAGGAAATACACTTATTATATGTATGTCAAATTTCTAATAAAGATTTTTTCAATATTTAATAGAAAATATTTTTTAATAATGAATCAAAATAAACTTGTTATAACTCTTAGAATGCCAATCACAAGGTGCTTCTCAAAGGTATGTTTTGATAAGGGTTTTTATATCAAAGTTGAACACTTGGGGTTCACACATATTTTTATAGTAGTATGACATCGTTCACTTTGGACCTAAACCTTTACATTTTTGTTTTTTGTTATCACTCAAAAAATTTCTCAACTATTGGAATATGTGTGTTTTATAAATTATTATTCCTTCTCTTATTTCATCGATATGAAACCTAATTTGTATTTTTAGAATGTTTTATCGATGTGAGACATTATTTGTCTCCCAATAATTTTTTCGTCAAACAAAAAATCTAACCTCTCATTTGACAAAATGTATCTCTATCACTTATCATTTTTTGTAATAACTTATTGATTACCATCGAATCTAATCAACAACTTTAATATTATCATCAAATCCAAACAATAACTGTGACGTTATTATTAGGAATATATTATGGGGGAGATGATAGTATCCTTTTTTAAATACTTTGTTGTGATGTCATAATGAATAACCAAGTATAACTTTGGTTGTTTGAAATATTGAATTTGAGCTTCTCTGAAACAAAATCATCATCATTTCAAATAAATATATGTACCTAGCTGTATACAATAAAATAAAAATTTGGTAAAGATAATTGTATTCTTACTTTGACAGTAAAATATAGGTGATGGCTCTGCTTTTGCTTTATGTAGGAATTGTGGAGCATGGTTACGTTTATGCATCGTTGAATGTGGGTCTTAGAAAATGATTGTGAGACAACAAGGAAGAAAAGAGGGGCCATTGAATAATCCAAATAAACAGGTAAAGGGAAGAATTGTTGCAAAGATGAAAGAGAATTGGGCCATATATAGTAATTGCATATTAAAGAGCAAAAGAAATGGTCCCCCCATTTTAGAATGTGCGAATTCGACTTCACCTATATATCTTTGAGTATTGAAAACCTAGAAGATGCAATAGCAATAGCAATAGCATCTTCATCAGGCTATCTAAGCGGAACCAACGATTTTGGATTCAACCACGATATGATGAAAAGGGATATTTGGATGCGTATTTTATTAGATGTGTCACTCTTAAGAAAACAGACAAAGCTATCATATTTTATTTATTTAATTTATTTATTTGGTTTTAATAAATCAACGGAAAAATATTACTGTTTAACGTTTATGGAAAGAAAATCGTACACATGAATTATTTATTTAGTTAAGCCTCGTGGTAGACATTATGAGAGAAAGAAGAGGAAAATGGTAAAGAGTTGGAATACATAATTAAGCACATATATTTATGATAATCATTAAATATCGTTAAATATACATGTAATTTTTATTTGATTTAGATAATTATTTATATATCTTATATTTCTAAATCTTGTTTTTGTAACAAAACATTTAGTAAAGAGTTAATATTATTTTAAAATTTAATTGTTTAAATATTAGATATTTTCAATATTTTTTTGTTGAGAAATAATATCGGAAGAAAATAACTTGGAAACTACAAGTCTAAAAGAGAAATCATGATTGAAATTCTCTCGAAGTAACAAAATCTCAACCTGAAGCAAGTTATGTCAGAAAGCAACCCCTATAGATGATATTAACTTGTTTAAAGTGAACAGGGTGCTCGCTTAAAGTGAGTAAAATTCGCTCAAAACTACTACAAGAGAGATTTGAGCGAGTGAAGTAAGATAGTACTTTTAGAGGATCACATAAGTTCGCTTGGAGTGAGCTACATGAAGGCTTTGAGCGAGCGAAATTCGCTCAAAGCCACTATAAAAGTGCTCTAAACGAATCAAAATAAGAAACACTCTTGGAAGATTGCACAAGTTTGCCCACAACGAGCTACATGAGTGCTTTAAGAGAGCATATCGAACCTAAAAGTCCACTAGAAAATGTTATAAAATAGAGTCTTTAGAAAGTCTCTATATCAATACTTTTCAAAGAACAATTTTAGAGAGATTAGAAAAAAAATTTGGTAGAGCATTTTTGTAATCATGGGTTGATTAAATATATTTTTTCTTTTGTGTAATCCTTAGTCATGAGTGACAAAGTTCTTTATTTTTAGAGATTGAGGTAGCTACTATACTTATGTAAATTCTTTGTATTTTTAATTCAATAAAATCTTTATTTAGTAAATCATTTTTATTCTTATGTTTAATGTTTGTTGTGACCTAATCAATCTCTATATGATTTTATAATTTTTAATTGAGGTTGAGAAACTCTTTTAAAATTATGGCCTAGTGAAAAACATTGATAACATTCATTACTAAGAATATAATATACTTTATCAGTCAATTTTGGGTCTCTGGCATTAATGCAAGCTGTTTAACAAAAATTATTAAGGGATTGAAATTTTTCTTAAATGTAGAATTTCTTGCTTTAGAAATTAAGGTTTAAATATAATTGTGGGTTGTTGAATTAATTAAATAATTTCAATACTAAACTGAAATTTAATAGGATTTGCATGAAGAAAGTTAATGAATCAATCTGATTATTCTCATTATAAATTCAAACTCATCAAAATTTATTACTTTATTTTATTTTCACTAAATTTAATATTTCTTGTTGAGCAATTCTAAATTTTCATTAAATAATCTATTTAGTACCAAATTTTATTAAACAATTATAA